AACGGTGCCAGCCCAAATGTTAAGCTACTGCAGCGACAAATTCCCCTCTCTTTTTTTTCTTATTCAAAACGGGTGCATAGCATCACTACCTCGTATTATGTATATACCACGAAAAAGATTTGAGTAGTAAGCTAGCTAGAAATAAAAAGCTGAAGGTTACTGGAGTGAACAGATGGCCCAATAAAGCTTAGCCAATAGCCATCCATCCATTTCAACCTTTGCACGAACGTCGTCTCGTCCCAACCAAAATTCCAGCCAGCTGAGGACATAATAGAGTCCGTAACAGAAACGCCACTTGGATCCAGACCCAACTCTACCCCAGAAACTAGTAGCTAGCTAGGTTTGAATTGACCACTTTACGAGTCTTTTATTTCCAGACACTTGATACGATTTAAATGTCAAGAACCAGTTCGTCCAACAACCAATCGAGTTGTTATCAATCGATACAAGTAGAAAAATGTATAAGCTCGATTGATATATGAAATTCGTGGATTGTTTTCTGATGGTCTCTGTCACATTATTTGTGTAAGTTCCCTAGTTGCTAAGCAGGCCCATTGATTATGGTAGGAGTCCATTAGTGTGGTATTATGATGTTAATTATATGGGACCAAACTTTAGAACCCATAGACTAGCTATAGCTAAAGCTACAATATTGTACGTTTGTTGATGCTGACCTTAATGGATATTGCTGTAATGCCACTTTCCAATTATTTACGATGTATAAGTCTATATAGTCTACATACATTACATACTATGAAGAAAAAATAGTGGGGGTTTTTTTTTGGCGTATATTAGATCAGATCTCTATATTCATTTATAAGTATGTAGTAATGTAAGCTCTATATTTATCGATCGCTGCTTTGAATAGGTGGATCTTCGAGTATCAAAATAGTGAGGGGTCGGTTGGATGGTTTATTGTTATGAGTTATTTGGTATCAAATAACCCGTTTGTGTGCAAAAGGTTGTGATAGGTTATTTGTACCGAGTTATTCTGAAACAACTTAATAATGAATTATTGAGAATACCACATGGGGCAGTTATTCTGAAATAACTCACAAATACCACAAAATCATTTTCTGAGTTGTTTTAACTCTTATAATAACTCGTTACACAAGAACTCATCTAAACATATACATGAGATATGAACCAGAGATATCTCTCCTCGAACTCAATGCCTTTATTATTGTTGGGCTACAAGCCTACAACTATGAAGATTGTTAGGTTCCGAAACTCGAGTTAGGCCCGTTGAATCAAGACATTTTGTTGATGGTTTGTTAGTCCAAATTATAATGAGAGAAAAATTAGAAGAAAAAAAAAAGTCATGCACCCTCAACTTAGGAATCCTCTCGAACCAATACACTAATAAACCCACCCTAAAAATTAAGGAAGTTAACTTTAGAGAAAACTACAATAGGACTTTACGTACCACTTTATGGGTAGCCCAAGCCTCTCATGACCTCCCTAACGACTTACAGTACTGAAAAGAAACGAGACGAGCTGACTACGCTAGCATGGCCCACCTAAAGAATCACCCACCACAACTTAGCGAAACTGATGGATCACCACCTTAGAATCACATTCAATGATCATACGGGACAGCCTTTGTGAAATGAAAATCTCGAATGATTGACTAGTAATGGCGATGGATATTATATATGCAAGTATGCAAGCCAATCTTATTTCAAACCCTATTCCAATATCACGTATGAAAAAGAAAAACAAGTTAGTGAGTATTGCGGATTTGTGGTTTGAAACGTATGTCAAAGGTAAAAGTGGCACCAAAAAATTTCTTCCGTGTGGAAAGAAAACAACTTTGTAATCACCAACAAAATTAGATTGCTTCAAGAAACCGCATAACCAACACTATTACTAAAACGCAAACCCTAATCAAATTGACCTAGTGATATAATACATCCTATATGGTTCCCATTTCTCAGCAAAAACGTTATATCGATTTTGATGGGTAGAAATTTATCGACATACTTAAATAGTGCTTAAGAGGTTTGGTGGGACAGGGATGAGTTTACGATATGTTTCCTATCCTATCCGTTTCTTTTCATTTCTTCTCATCCTCTCCCTCTCGGTGGAATGTGGACAGGATCGTCGTAATTTTTTGTGCACCCTTTTTAATAATAGTGATAGCTACGATTTAACCACCATATCTTCTCGTCCCTACGAGCATTATTAAGTAAAGATAAGGGGATGCAAGTGCAATCAACGACGTATATAGGAATCATTAATGACGATTAGGACTTGATCAACTACCGTTAACTGTACTTGATCAATAACTTCCTCCCTGAAATGTAAATTACGTGAGGGAATCATCTCTTGCTTTTTGCCCCAATATGGTGAGGATAAACTGAACGAAAAAGCTGATAAATCTGGAAAGATAAACTTACTTGAATGAGTTTCCATTAATTAGGGTTTCCACTAATACAAAAAAAATTATTGCCTCAAGTACTTTAACGAGTCATAAAGGGTATACATGTCAATCTTTGTCACGCAACGCAACAATACAATGAATGAGTAGTACACACACTTTTTTTTCGCACCAAATTTTTGGCTGTTTGCTACTGAGCTTTATGAGAATGTTGATGTGATGGTGATACTTATGGAGTTTAGGGAAATAAGAAATAGTGGCAATACCGTTCACAATCGTTTCATAACCAACATAAGGTCTGTATTGGATCTTATATCAACGTTTTCTAGTTTCATGCATCTAGTTCGACATTGGGAGGGTTGATGGCCGTAAGATGCTTTGATGATCAAGCGAAAATTGTTCAAGCAGAGATAGGAATAAGTCGTTTGAAGCATCGCCAACAATAACTCGTTATCAAATCATGTTTTGGCAAGATTATCACGATAGTAGTGATTCTCTGTATACAAGAACTATTCACATAATTTAATTTGCATTCTCAATATGCCACTTGCGAACCTAAACAACTGGCTTGATCGATCCATATGCTCGTTACAGGGCCAAGCCGAGTAGATTTGGATTGCCCAAATAAATATGGTTGAGTTACATGAGTCATTTACCAACAACGGATATCAAGACTTGTTTTGGTAGGACGATTATGGCAATAAGTCGATAATTGTATATCTACATAAAAAAATTGCCCAAATACTTTAATTTCCATTCTCGTTATACCTTCTGCTATTTCATTCATTAAAATTGTGGTTTGTTTCAAATGGAACATTAGTCCTACTCCATTTTATTGTGTAAGCTTCTCAAAATTTTCACCTTCAAAGTGAATAAATACAATTTAAAAAAAAAAAAAATTCATACCATATTATTCCAATTGGGGCATTGGATATCCCTTTTTTTCTTCTTCTATTCATGAACTCAATTATGCATGGGCGCACCCAACTCCATATAGAGATCCATGATTGGGCTAAGGCTCTTTGCATAGTGGCTTACTTCACCAAGCATTATTTTGTGCTAATGATTAATGTTTGCTTACATGGTGACAAGCAATTTCATCCTAGACCACCAATATAGGGGCATGTGTTTACTTCCAATACATCTTCTCCAACTCACCTATCACTAATAATCCTCCAATTCCCCACTTCTTTCCTTATTGCCTTCCCTAGGAATGGAAGTATGAAAACCAACAAATGGACATCTACATTCTTAAGGATTACAAGGTGAATCAAATCTTATCATAGACCAAAATTTGATTAATGACATGTTAATCTATTGGCTTATCATGAAATATGCATACAATAGAATCTCCACCTCGTCCCAATTAAATGTTGATTAAGGACTTACTAATCTATATCCAGCTCATCCCGATTAGTCGTGCTTGTAGATTTATGTAAACACTTTTTTTTTCATTAACCTCAGTGTATAAAAAGCTTTTAGATTTGCACACATCCGACTTTCATCTCTTGATTATCACTTGTCTGGTCACTTGGACTGATTGCTCACATCTCATTTACCGTATGTCTGGATGAATAAGTATATGGGGAAAAATACCCTACATGATGGGGGGAAAACTCGAACGTAAAATCTTTCATTAAATGATAACTTTTGTCAAAACCAATTCACAACATAAACGAATCAGCAAAATGAGCTCATTGAACAAATGTTAGTACACTAAATTTTTCATTACTTTATCTTTCTACTCATGCGTTGTTCATAAATAAAATCAAATCCTCACCAATTCATCTGAAACCGACATGTCATAGCCCAGAGAACCCTCATTAAGTGCCACCTAGCACATACCAAATGGGGTTAAGGTCTCAAGTTTTTGGCCGTTAAGGAACAAACAATGGGGGCAAAAACTTAGAACTATGTGCTATCTTTGTTTTCATGGCGGTTTCAAATCGCCGCATGAAACATCAAAAGCAAGTAACAAAAAAACTGTTGCAAATTCAAGTTCTAGCCAAAATAAGCTTGAAACCGTACAAACACGTGAGTGTCGCATGCCGCCGGTCTTCCGGCCAGCTGCCGGCGTCTCCATAATTTCCACCACTTTTACCTCTCTCCCTCCGCCTGGAAAAAAGCTTCCAACTTTACCAATTACCCTGTTTCTCTTCCATACCTAACATTGTTGATCTCAAAGTTCGAATCCGTACATAACATCGCCTGCTTTGTTGAGCTATAGTAGTTGAGTTAGTAATTTCGTATAAACTCAACTTTGTTTGTCATTGACCTATCTTGCGATTAAGTTTTTCACTCTCGTATGAAGCATATTGAATTTTGATCGTGACTTGACTTGTTAGATTTGACGCAGTATCTTACTGGAAACTACATCTCTTAATTAGACCTCATCGAAGGATCTTAAACTCGTGGATTTGACGGTCCGTGATTAGATCAAGCATTCTTTTCAAATCAAAATCTCAGGTAGAATTTACATTTCCCGGTGTGGAAAACGCAAAAACCTAACCCTCCCCCAAGAAACAACAAGTTAAACAGTAAAAATTGCTGATATCTATAACTCATTTACAGACAAAACAGAGTCCCATCTCTCTACCATGAGAAAGAAAAAACAGAGCACTTAGCCCCAAAATTTTCTTCCTTCCTCAACACACCCAGCACAGAGGAAGAAGAGGATCTGAAAGTTAGACAACAGAATCAATGCGGCGCCACCGTTTCCTCCTCCTCCGCCGCTGTCGCTGCGGATGTAGCTGCAGCCGACGACGATGAAGAAGAAGAAGATTCGCCGCTGCCTTCTCGCGAAATTCCCCTGTTATCTCTACTCTGTTCTTCATCACTCCCCTGTTTCCCACCTTCCAATTTCCCGTCTTTCTCGCCGCAAAGACAAGGCTTCTCGCCGTCGCCGAAAGACAACGATCGGCTGGAGACTTGAGTGGCGAGGTAAGTGGGTTTCACCTGTCCGGCCATGATAACCAAGAACTTCTCGTCGAACTCCTTGGCCTTCTTCTCTCCACCTTCGCCTCCTTCCTTCCCGTTCCCCTCGCCTTCCCCTGCCTCCAGATCTCTCTCGCCGTCGTTTTCCAAGTAGCCGGAGAGCTTCCAGTAGGAGCAGGCGAGGATCAAGAGGGCGAAAGCGATCAGCCCGAGCATGGCGGCCAACCCGCCGAACAAGTAAGGAACAGGGGAATGCCAGGGGGAGCGCTCTGCTGCTGCCATGGCGGCGTTGGTTTCATGGGATGTTGTTGGCCGCGGCGACATGTTGAAGGGTTCCCTTCCGGCGGCCATTGTTGTTTGTGGGTGGGTGATTTTGAGAACTGGGTTCTTGAGTTTTTAGGAGGAATTGCAGGAAATGGAGGATGGTGGTGGGGAGGAAGAAGATAGGGAGAGAGTATTTATAGAGGGTGGGAATTAGTAAAGGTGGTAGCTTTGGCTCTGTTGTTGCTCTTAATTTTTTGTTTGTACGATTTGATTTTTTGGAAGGGGAATTATGGCGTCATGGTGGTTTTGCTTTAGAAGTTGGGACTTGGGACAGGGAGATGGAGATAGGGCCATTATCTTTCTTTTTGGGGGTGCAAGCAAGAGCATTATACAAGAGGGTGGGCAAGGATTCTTTGGTAGTGCATGAAACTTGCATTTGGATTGAATCAAATCTAAGCATCATTCTATTATAATGATTCACCTTTGTCGAATTTTTAAGTCTTATTTCAAAACGAAAAAGTTATGGATGAAATCAACGCTGGTTAGTATCAATCGAATCGGGATGGACAAGTTTTCTAATTCAATTTCGAAACCTTGTGCATGAGAGTGAGCATGATTTGTTCAGTCTGGTATGTAATTGCACTCAAATAATAAAATATGAAGGTAATCTGAGGACCAACATCGAATTAAAAGTTTATCGATTTCTGTTTTAGTTGATCATTATTCAATTTAGGTGTGATATGCATCATGGTCATGAATTATATTTCATGATCAAATTAAGAGCTTATTGGAAACAAAGGATTACTTATGGGACCAATAACTCTTCTCCTCCTTCAAACTAATCAAATTTTCCTATGACCTTCCCCACTAATCTAATCAAAGAATTTCATTCGTTTTAGAATGGAAAACCATGGGAAGGAAGTAATCAATTGCTTGCTTTGAAGAGGAGGGGCAAAGTATAAAGTTTCTCTAAGACTTTCCCATCATTTGGTGTCCATAAGATGTTATCCAAATTTGGGAAATGGGTGTTGTAGTTCTTCTTTCTCATGATGAATATTTGTTGAGAGAGTGCCTAAGCAATTTTAGCTAGTGGTAATATGGTTCAACTCCCACTCCATGGTGTGTAGGGCCTCTCTCTCTATTCCGTTCCCTACCATTTTCTTTTCTTTGCTAGCTTCTCTTTTAATATAAAGACATATTACATTAGTTGGATGGCTTATTAGACACGAAAATTTTGAGGCTTTTGGTTAATTAAGTCTTGACTATGAGAAAGATAGATTCTCCTTTTCAAGCTTATGTGTTCATATTTGTATACCCAAATCGAGGTATGGCAAGATTTCATGAGCAAATCTCAATAGTTGATGTTCTAGCACAAAAAGTTACATTGGAAATTATCAATGCTGCAATCCAAGTCATATAGTTTAGAGTTCGATTTACTAGTCAAGTATCACAATTTCGTTGCATGTTTTAATCATCAACTCAAATTCTGAGTTCCATAAATGTTGAATAGTGATAATAAAATAGGAGGTCGAATGGTTAAGATGTTGGATTCAAACTTCCGCTAAAAATTTAATAGGTTTCGAGACTTAAGGCTGAAAGTTTAGATTTGAATGAATTCATCCCTCGGTTAAGACACCATACCCGATTAGTCTTTATTAAAAGGGATTTGAATGAACCCAAAACTCAAATCACTAGTGGCTGGCCTGTCCATTTTAGTCAATTTCACATGAATGCATATCAAGAAGAACTTAAACCTGGAGCCTAATTCTTGGTGTCTTTGGTGCACTTAAACTAGGATATTTTCACACAAAGTTACAGATTGCATAGGCTCGGGATGCATTGTGTATTTGTGTTAAAAATAAATTGAGAATCAAAAGGACACGAATGTGAAATCTCTCGAATATAGATTCTAATATCATATCAAGAATCAATTAATGATCCTAACCACTCGAGCTATCAAGAAAACTCATATATGAAGCTAATACCACTACTCATCGTAGTTTAAGTGGTTAATATATGAACCTAGTTCGAGAGAACAATCAATTCGCCAATAACCATAAAATTTTGGCCAAAATATCAGTTGATAACCTAATTCTATACAATCATGCATACCTCTCATTTAGAAGGGATAATACGATCTTATCATAGTGAAACGATATGTCTTATGTTAGCATATCTGTTTGGGGTTTTGGCCCATTTATGTACATATGTTGTTCTGGACCTTTTTATGTTTGGACGTGGAGACTTAGGGGTGTTTGGGACGTGGATTAGGGTTGCATGGGGCATTAGGGTTGCATGGGTATATATAGGCATGTTAAGTGTTGTAGCCGAGACAACTTGAACTGGTGATAATAAGATCTCAGCTCGGAGAGGCTATCTCTCCCGTGGACTAGTCCCGAATCTCGGGGATACCACGTATATCGTGTGTGTGAAGTTATTGTTTCCGTTTGATCAAGCTCGATTTGTTAACATGGTATCAGAGCTTTCGTCCGGCGATTCCGATCGTCTTGCTATTCGGCTGAACTCCAAGAATTATGTTGTGTGGGAGTTCCAGTTTCGTGTGTTTGTGGAGGGCAAGGGCCTCCTTGGTTTGATTGATGGCTCATCGGAGAAGCCTGATGCTGCGTCACCTGCCGCGGACATTGCCAAGTGGAATCAAAGCGATGCTAGGGTCAGGTCGTTGATTTTGGGGTCGGTTGATCCAACCATTATTCTTGGTCTTCGATTGATGAAGGACGCACGTTCTATGTGGAAGCACCTGGAGACTACTTATTCGTCCTACAACATAGCGCGCCAATTTGAGGTGCAGACGGCGTTGGATAATCTGGAACAGGGCGATCGTGATGTCTCGACTTATTTCAATGATGCCCAGGAGCTCTGGACGGAGCAGGACCTGCTCACCGCCGTCTTGCGCTCAAAAGAAGCCTCGGCCGAAGTCATGGATGAGAGGCGGCAGCAGCGTCTTCTTCAGTTTTTGATGCGGCTGCGCCCGGAGTTCGAATCGGTTCGGTCTACTCTCATCAATCAGGATGAGATCACCATGGATGGGGTTCTCGGCAAGCTTCTTCGCGAGGAAACTCGCATTCGTACCCAAGCAAAGCTGAGTACGCGTCCCGGCGAGGGTGATGCTGTTTATGCCGCTTCTTCTGGTTCCTCTCGCCCAGAGCGATCCGCGGATCAAGCTTTTGCTGTCGGACGTCCCCAATTCCAGCAGCGTGTACCTGTGTCGGAGCTTGAATGCCACCATTGCCATGTGAAGGGACATTTGCAAAAACATTGCCGTCAGCGCAACATGTGTGTCTATTGCAAGAAACCGGGACACATCGTTTTGGACTGCCCTTCTCTTCAAAATCGTCGCCGATCGTCTGCTGGAACTCGTTCGGCTTCCTCTCAAACTGGCTCTGCTTCTCATCCAGCCTTTGCCGTGCAACAATCCCAGCCCTCCGCCAGCGGGTCAGTGCTCAGCCCGGAAGCAGTTGAGGATCTTGTCAATGCTGCTTTACAACGTTCACTACCTACTGCGTTGAGCTCAGCCTTTGCCTCCCTTCAGACATTAGGTATTCTCAAACCTTGGCTGCTTGATTCCGCGTGCTTTAATCACATGACGAGTGATGCTTCTAAGCTTAAAAATGTTGTGCCGGTTAGAGATATGACTCTCCAGGTTGCCAATGGGGATCGGTTGGGCGTTACGGGTATTGGGCATGTCAAGCAACCTCTTGTCACTCTTCCTAACACTTTGTTTGTACTGAAATTATTTCCAAATCTTGTTTCGGTCGGTCAGCTTGCTGAACAGGGTTATCGGGTGGTATTTGCCCCTTCTGGCTGTGTTGTGCAGGAAGAGAAGACGGGGAGACAGGTCGGGCGCGGGAGTAGGCATGGTCGAGTTTTCCATTTGGAGGAGCTCTCGGATCAGTCATCAAACAGTCAGTCGGTGTCTAGGTCTTCTTCGAGTTCTGTCTTCTCGTGTTCGGTCTTTTCGAGTCTTCCTGATCAACAATTGAATCTTTGGCATTCACGTATGGGTCATCCGCATTTGAGTCGGCTTGTATCGATGGTCAAACTTGGTCTATTTGGTACTAATAAGATGATTGATAGTTCCTCTAAAATTTTGTGTACTAGTTGTGTTGCTGCCAAGTCCACTCGAAAAAGTTTTCCTTCTAGCACAACGATCATTCAGGATTCTTTTCATATCGTCCATTCTGACCTTTGGGGTCCCTCACCCGTAGTTTCTAGGCATTTGGACCTTTTTATGTTTGGACGTGGAGACTTAGGGGTGTTTGGGACGTGGATTAGGGTTGCATGGGGCATTAGGGTTGCATGGGTATATATAGGCATGTTAAGTGTTGTAGCCGAGACAACTTGAACTGGTGATAATAAGATATCAGCTCGGAGAGGCTATCTCTCCCGTGGACTAGTCCCGAATCTCGGGGATACCACGTATATCGTGTGTGTGAAGTTATTGTTTCCGTTTGATCAAGCTCGATTTGTTAACATCTTATCCGATAACCGAATGTTATATCGAATTTTGTATATAAGATTTATGCACCTGATCCGCTTTGCCGCTATATTTGATGGGCATTTTTGTGATTAACCCATAAACAAACGGTTTCTTGCGTTTGCATTATCATTTATCAGAATATGGCACCCTCTCCCTCAGTCCTCGATCACCATCGTTCGTCCACCATCATATATAATACAAAATAGAGAAACTGAAAAACCAAAACTACTGCAGCAGCTTTTTAATTTTGTTTGTTTTTTGTTCCTGACAATTTGCTGTAACGCAACCAATTCTATAATAAATTATTATCATCATTTCATTCTGTTGTCTTGTTTCCTTTATCAAAAGTTCCATTGTTTTGTTATTGTAAAATAATTTCGGTCGAAATGGGAAAGAGGAAGAAGAGAGGACTGTTTTGGTCAAGCGGTTTTCTTGAGTAGCAGCTTTTATTTTGCTCTTTGGGTCTTTGTTGGATGGGTGACTCGACTGCTTTAATCCTTTACCCTTCTTTTTTTAACAAAGACTGATCATCGTTGATCGTAGACGTATGTAATATGATAACGTTACTCCAAAGTCTTAAAATAATGGA